CCCCAAAACCCCAAAACCCCAAAACCCCGTAAAGTAAAATTTTACTGAATCATCTGGCATTTTATAATGAGATATAGTTATTTATACTACAAAGGATATGTTGATCACACTTCCTCCTCGTCTTCTTGTTTAAAAGACATATATGAATTTGAACGATTACTAATGGTACCACTTTGCTTGCTGACAAGTTTTCTCTTCTCTGCTTCTGTTACTAGCTCGTATTCATCAATTAGGTTTTACCATCTTTGTTTGTTTTCTCTAATATTTATAACGCTAGCCTCAATTTGAGGGAGGACTTAAAAAAGGATTTCATAAGCTGGGTAAATGATCACATCAATAAATCCGACCTAAGATTTGGCAATGTTTACTGTAGTCCTATCCATTAGATAAGAAATAGGAAGTCCTAGGTCTCTCTCCTAGTCTCCTTATACAAAGAACTCAATGAATAATAGGTCTGTCCACTTTTTAAAAATTTCGAACTTCTTAGTTGGATTAGAAATGTCAGACAGATGGAATAGGATATTCATTGTTATTTCTTTGTCATTTTTGCTTGGCTCAAAATCCCAAGAAGCTACGCGAGATTTAAACTTGGACTACTCTGCAAAATGCTTGGACATGTCTGTATCTAAAATACAGCCTATCATTATCTTTCTAAATCTTTTAAAATCATCTTTATCGTATTTTTTTACCAAGTTGTACTTATCATTGGATATTAATGAAAAACTGCTTGCTACATGATGACTTTCTAATACTGATACATCATTATACCTCAAGGCTAATTCATTTCCAGTTTCAATCAAGAATAAGTTGTTAAAGCCTGGATGTTCAAAATCATGACAACAAGCAGCTAGTAGCATACTTGAGAATTCCAGATCATCTAAACATGCCTTTTCATAAAATCCTCCTTTGTTTGTAAAGTAGTAAACAGTTTGGCAGACATCAGCTGCATGAGTTTTATTATGATAAGCTATATCCTTATATCCAGATTAAATTTTAGCAATAAAACTTATAAAAGTTTCAACTGGAATGCCGAGTTTAGTGAAAAATCGATGTTTATGGAATAAGAAAGAGGAAATAGATATTAACTCGTTTCCTTTAGTTTGATCTCCTAATTCAAATACGCTAAAGTCGTGAGTTTCAATCAAACTTAACTATCGCTTAGCTTCATCATTTAAATTAATTAAATCTTCCAAGGGCTATTCAGCTGCTTGATCTGTAAATATTGAATCTCTAATTAATCCTGGTGAGGCTCCACTTACTCTTTTGCTTTTAAAGCCTGATGAAAAATTATTGTACCAGCTTACAACATCTTTATTTGCAAAAGAGCTTCTTCTTGGACCACCTTCGCTCTGCTTTGATGCCTTATTTATTTAATCTGTTTGTTGATTCTCAGCGAAATCAAGGTCAGCTTCGTAGAGCTTATTTGATTAAATTTATTGAATGCAGTAATTAAGGTTGCCTATGATTTTTCTTTCTGATACATCTATTCTGTCTCTTAGTTCGCACAGCATGTCTAGAACTATCTCTAGAGGAGCTCTCAAGTCTAGAGATTCATTCATAGTCTTCTTCTTGATTATTTCTCTTCTAATACGAACAGCATTTAGCTTTCTTACTAATATAAAGATTCGCAAAAGTCTAAACACTCCTCGAACTTTTAGAAAACCTCTAATATTGGTCCCTTAATCTAGCAACAAATCCAACAGGACAAAGACCAGACAAAATATAATAATAAATATATCTGCTAAAGTCCAAAAGTCCTTCAGATATAATACTCCATAGGCAAATATATGAAAGCAGATTTCAACAGTGAAAATGCCAAGCAGCACAAGCTCTGAAATAAATAATTTATCTTTAACACCATCATAGAAATCCTACTCATCAACTCCAAATTATACTAAAACCAGAGCAGTATAAACAACAATTAAAATTATCATTGAAATATCATAAATCTTGCTGCTCAATAAAAGTGCCACTCTTTATCTCATGCCCATTATCTTCCTATAGAATCATTAAAATTGCTATTTACTCTTATTCTAGCTCCTAAGAATCCATCATCATATAGGTTTTCTGTAGCCTGATAGATGGTTTTCTTATTAATGGAGGATTAGGTGTGCACTTAAATACATTTTAAAGACTAATAGATTTTATTACTTTGCTATTCTATCTATCTGGATGAACTTTTGCATCAATAACCAAACTTTGATCAAAAGTTTTATTGTTAGTTTATACAGTCACTATAATGTAATTAGGTTTTGTGATAATAAAGTGGTTGGAAAATAAAATAAATGGATTAAAAATTGTTACAGTTTTTCATTTCCATCGATTATCTCATTATCAAAATAATCTAATTAATTAAAAAAGTGTTATTTATCATTGATTCATAGTATCGTCTTTCTAGTATTTTCTGATAATTTACTCTTAAGGGGTTTTGGGGTTTTGGGGTTTTGGGG